TGTTTTTTTTCTTCCTTTATTATATTATATTTTTATTATTTTATTATTTTTAATCCTAATTCTTAGTCGTAATTCTTCTTTTCAGGCCTGTCGGCGTTACAGTATGTAAATCTCAATTCCTCGAGAAACTTGTTCATCCTGGGCTTGTCCATGTTCTTCCCTCTGGTTAGTATACACCTTCGGGGATACGAGTGCGTGCTCAATTATATTGATTTTCGTTATTTATACGCATAAACGCTTTCATATTTATGTGACTTGTTTTAGGTCCTGTCGAAATGGCTGATCAAACATCAGGGCACGATACAAACGGGAAACGCTGTGGTGGACAGCGTATTCACCGTATTACTTAGCACTACTATTCTAGTAGGTGGTTTGTTAGGCTGTTTACTGGACAACATCATCCCAGGTATTGTTGATAGAGACAATAATGACAGGATATATGTATTTATTGATTTATTTGTTTAAAATTAAGGTAACGCGAGAGACCGTGGATTGGAGGCTTGGTCGAAGGAAATGGAACTGACCAGTGATGTGACTGACAAAAAAACTGACGAAGCATCTGGCGTTGAGTACGTCCGGAACACTTTCGACTTCCCATGCGGAATGAATCTGCTGAGAAGGTATTAATATATAGCAGAGTTTTTTTTATCTGTACGTTTGTACGAATGATGGTTAATTATATTTATAAATTAATTCTTCAGGTGGAAATGGACATCACACGTGCCGTTTTTACCTACGTACCAGAAATTGTAAATGCGTTAAGAGGAACTAACACAACTACCTCACGTGCAATATACGTCTATCTGTCATGAGATACGATCTGTAATCGAAAAAATGTTATACGTAAAAAGACAGATGTCATATTGTCAGCGTTATAAAAAATTTTATGACACATGATTACTGCTCCCAATCTTAATTTCAGTCATGTATCGCATATTTTGCTTTGTCACGTTACGAATTTAATGCGTGAAGATTCATAAAAGATAAAGATAAAGATTTATACGATAAAGAAACAATAGTATTACTCATATAAAAGAAAGTTAATTGTGTTAATATATATGTTTTTGTATAATTATATGTGTATATACATATATTTGTTGAGGTTCTTTTAAAAAATCGAGAGACTTAACTTTGTAACGATCAAAAAGCTTTAGAAGCATTGTAGTCAATAATTAATATAACGTGATTATTACATTATTTATAATTATATATGATATTATTTGCATACACGTACACAATGTCCCCCCTGATATATGTTAAAAATTATCTATAGCAATGAATATATATATATTTATTGAATGTCAAATTGTAACTTTTATTTCTTTTATTTCATATATGAATAATATATGATTATATGAAATAAATTATTTCATATTTCATGTGAATGACATGTGAAATATGAAATATGACATATGAAATATATAAAATTGCATCCTTGCAATGTAAGGATGTTTAAAATGGTCAGCTGTACATTGAATTGAGTGAGTGAAAAAATTAATAAATTAAACGTTAGGAAAAAGAAGAGGAAAGACGAGAAATACAAAAGGTTCTTTTACGAAAAACAAATGTCATACTTTATTGCGCGGCCAGAGAGATACCGAAGCGGCGCTCTCACGATTGTACCGGTCGCGCAAAATTCTTTTCACAAAGTGAGTTCTCGAACTTCTGAAGAGCGCTACAGTAGAATACGAATGCCAGGCGTCAACAGGCCGAAAGGTTAGCGTTCCAATACCGGCTTGCATGTTTTCAACGTTATCTCGTCGGTATAATTACTATTGATGCACCAACGCGTCGTTATTTATACATCAAATTAATGATCGCAAAAGCATTTGCCGCTTATTGAAATGGAGGTCAATCAGTTTGAACCTATTGACGAAAGGTATGAGTATTTTTTTTTTGCAGAAATGCCTTGTGTTTATCATTTGTGTTGTAAGTGCATTTTTTTTCTCGACAACAAAACCACGCTCGTGTTATAGCACAGATGAGAATATAGTGAACGATGAGGCTGTTGGTGTGGTTCTGGAAGAAGTGGACTGCGATGCTGATGTAGAAGCTGACGATGACAACATACAGTACCACTTGTACGCAGTAAACAGAGATGACAATACAGTGGCCTACAAAGTTATGCATGTCAGCAACAATGACAGAGAGGACAATGAGCTTTCGATAGCCACGCCTGTGAATAATACTGTCCAGGTTTTGACTTCGCCGCTGAACGGACAATTATACGTGCTCAGTAATGGCAATGACGTTGTAACATCAGAATCTGCTAGAGTGGTTCCTAGCGTAGCTAAATTGCAGATAGAAGGATCACAAAATATCGTAACCACCGTGAAGAAGGTAAAAGTCATTCGATATTATCGATGCACTTTACGTTATCGTTGATTTTTCATTTAGGAAAATGAAAATTATATGTTTAGAGGGACGAGAGACGAAGAGTAACGCACAATGAAGTTGAAAGACGTAGAAGGGACAAAATTAGCAACTGGATTTCTAAGTTGGCAAATCTCTTGGCCGAATGTGATCCGGAGAATGTGAATAAAGACGGAGATGTAAAATCCAATTTGGAACCGCAAGTACGACATTTGCAAATTCTTAAATCGATATTTGTCTTTTGATAATAATTTACAAATAAATTAATAAATTCTTTATTTTATATTATAAAAACATATAACTTGTATTATTTGTTAATGCTAGTACTAATTTATTTATAGAGTAAAGGAGGTATACTAGCGCGAGCTTATGAGTATATTACGGAATTAAGAGAGGCTCCGGAAAAACTAGCCCAAAGCTTGGATGAAAGCGCACAGTTGATGGAAGAAGTCAAGAATCTTCGACAAGTCGTAAATCAATTGAAAGACGAAAATTCAAAATTAAAAGCCCAAATTTCAAAACAGGACGATGTGACTGTAATTCCTTAAATCTTACTTAAATTTTTGTCTAAGCTTAAGGATTAACATAATTCAGTGTTCATTGCCTTGTGTTACTGCTATATAAACGTTTATAGACATATATCTTTACGAAAAAATGAAATAAGAACACATGGACAAAGTATAATAGTTATAAAATGTTTATTTACATATATGTAACTCAGCATATACATATATATATATATAGAAATATAGATATATATGTATGTGCTTGTATTTGGAAACAATGACAATCATATTGTATAACATTCTATTGTACATGTCGTAAACAATAATTATAATACGAACAATCGATCTCGCAATGACAAATAATCGTCAAGATGATTAAATTAAAGAGATGTACAAATATACAAAATGATATCACCGTTTAATTAGTAATCAACTATATGAACGTCAGATATATAGCTTAACAGTACGTTTCACTTAGTCGCTACAAAACGTGTTGAAGTTATTTTCTCTAACGAGAGAGTAGGTCTACGGTATTTACACTTACAAAACACGTCTATATATGTACAGAAAACATTGCGATATCATGCGTTATCTCTGCTGCTTTTCCTCTTGCATCGTTAGCGCGTAGCGCGATCTCGCTACGGAAAAAGAGCTCTGCTTAGTTCATCATCAGTATGTACGCACACGGTTATCGATATCAAATCTCATTGTCAGGGAAAATATAATCGCGTTTTTAAATGCGTTATATATGTACGTAATAGCCTAAATTATCATAACAATAACGCTTAGTTTAATATTTATTGCTTTGAAGCGCATTTCCTCGAGTTTTGTGCAGATCTTGCTTGACGGTTTCTGAAAGAATAACTGTTTCCGAAAAGAAGAAAGGGGAGAGGGTAGTATTTTCCGAGGTAAAAAAGTAATCGGTGCGTCAGATATGTAATTCATCTGCCAATGCATGAGAGCTCGTGAATGCGAGATACGAATTTTCACGGATTTCGATTACTTCTCCGTCGTGAGAGTGCAAGTGCAGTTTCATGAATTGTTCGTGAAAAGTTGTGCTTACTTGTGGATTACACAATATTGTGTCCCGCAGACAACACGAGTGTCGTCAAGAGACGCCTGTAAAACTTGTTGTAGAAGACGTTCCTCCGAAGGATATCTTTTAGACTTCCGTGTTGCTCGGGATCCCCCTCGCTACTTATCAATCTTATCATTAACAAGTTACTCTTCTTTATACTTACGTTGGCCATTAAAGCAGTCCATGTATAATAGCGATACTTATAAAAAAAATCACATTCCAATCAATGAGTCATTTCTCCTATAAAAATAACTCTGAAATGAGTTGGGTCCAGCAACAAATTTGCGCCTCTCCTAAGTCTAAACATCAACAGGCTAATGATCTCTCTGTACAGTAGGAATCTTGATCCATTCTTTTATCATTATATTGTCCTCGTCATATATAGTAAATTACGTTGTCGGGAAATAAGTAAAAATATACCTTTCTATGTATTATACAAAAACGTAAATACCGCCTCGCTCATACTCGTGTGTTACACCCCTTTAGACATAAATGTCAAAAAGACAGAATAGTCGCGTTTGTCCCTCGTATATATACTGTATATAAGAGAGAGAGAGAGAGAAAAAGAGAGAAAGAGAATCGAAATTATACCGATCTCTTTTTTCTATTAAAGACCGAACCAAACAATTCTAACGAACGAAGACTTATTTCTTTTAACTTATTGGCAGTGTTGGAAACTTTCAGGATCTGTGATTAAGTAAAACTGCAAGATCGAACATTTTGTCAAGGGACCGCATAGATAATATGCACATATTATTAACACAGAGGTTCTTCTGCTGACAGATATTATTTTCTCGTTGCTAAGTCTTCATACATCTTTCTGTACAAGAGTAGAAAAACTTGAGAGAGATTCTCGCGATCTTCTCCCTTTTCCTTTTTCTTCCTTTTTCCATCTTTTTTTTTCTTTTTAAAAGCTTGGCGATTCACATCGCAGTCGGGTAAGGAGACATGATATGCGAATATTTACATATCTTTTTTAATCACCTTTTTTCATCTGTATGCTACTGCGTTGTTTCGCGTAAACATAAACGTTTTTTTTTCTCTCCTTCGCCCTCGCGTTTCAGCCTCTCGTCTTCTTGTCTTCCCGTCGTTCGCAACTTCGTACAAACTACTACAAATATTATGATTACGATGCGAAATAACGAACATTAGTTAGGCAGTAAGAGTTACCTTGTATAGCTCGCTGGAGATTTTCTCTACGAAATACATCTACATTTTCGTTGAGAGAAAAGTGGTGTGCGGAATCGGCCGATCAGAATTTCCTCGCGAAATCAATCAACATGTAGATTTTTGTGATCGAACTTGTTGACGCTTGCGTAGAACTGTGTACGTGCTATTAGTTCTCGTTGTACGTAAAATTGGTCGACAAAATAATTTTCGAAATAACGATCAAATAATCTAGACGAAAGGCGAAGCTCGTTTAACGAATTCAATTCAGATATATTTCCTAATCGATCCCGTCGCATTTCTCTCTCAAGATTACAACCTCAAGGTTTCCTCCCGAGGAAGCATCTCAGTTGTCAGTCTTTCGATTATCATAAAAAATACAGCCGTGTGACGTACCATGCCAGCTTTTCGACCCAAAAAGCGATTGCGCGTGTAACAATATATCATATATATATCATGTTTCATCGGCGTTCATCAAGAATTCGCGATGACGAATGACTAGTACTTTCTCTTTAGTACTTCAGAAGCCCGCTATTGACTTTATACATTTATAGACTATCTACTTCTCTAAATGTCTCTACTTCCCTAATCTACTCTCGTGTCCGCTATTATTAACGGTAATTTTTAACGCCAAATATCTACAAGAGCGATTATACACCTCTCTCAGCTCATAACAAATATTTTTCTTCTCCGAAACGTTCTTTCTTTGGACGGTGCTTCTCAGACTGGGCACCATCGTAACGTCACGTTGAAGATGATCGAACATTGCTTTAAGATCTAAGAGTTAGGCAAGCACCGATTCGAAGACTCACAAAATCCTGGTTAGGCATAATGAGCGACTTTTGTCTGCAAGTATCTAAAGTGGACGATGATATCTGCTTGATAGAGAGAAACGTCTGCTTTCTGTGAGAGAGGCAGTGAGTGAAAAATCATTGGAAGTTTCTTCTATTTTGCGGATCGCTGTTCATGGACAATGATCAAAATCGGTCGACAAAATCGATAGCGATTACTTTCCCTGCCTTAGAAGAAGAGGTATACTTCGTCGGACAAAATCTACTTATGAATTATCTAAACACCTTCGTGCCGTACATATGACGAGGCGCGCTGTTCATCCTCGGTGCTACGAAATCCTAGCGAAATCATAGTGGCTCGTTCATCGATGCTTAGAGAATAATTTCCACGACCAGTCACATACAATAAACAGTATTACCCTGACCGGAATTCAAATGCCTGCTCGCAAAGGCTCCTAAGTTTCGAAGCGACGAAGATCGGGGTATCTCGCGCCAGGATTTCGACAGGACGATGCAGCGTCGTTAGCCGCAGCTTTATAGGTCAATATACGGTACGAAGGTGGGCCTGTCTCAGGACGGTTGAAGCCGCGTGCTCTTCTTGCTGCTACCAAACATGAACCAGGTCCCAACCTTCCGTCCCAGCGAATTCGTGGTGCCTTGACCGACCATTGTCGTCGGCATCTCGTACGCCGATTCTCTCTTATATGCTTTGTCTGCAACATCGTTAAATTAATACAAGATAAAAATAGACTGATCGAGTAAGTTAAATAAATCAAATTAAATCGGTCAATATAAATTAATACAAAATAAAAAAGTTAGGTATTTTATAGCGAAAACATACAATATTTTAGAGAGAAGATAAAATAAAATTAAAATAGCGGTTTTTTTTTCGAACAAAATCTAATTTTATTAAATTAGTACAGACATCATAGTGGCAAATACTTACTGCGAGGTTTGATCGGTGGTCTGTTCTGCTGTCTGTTAGCGGCAAGCCTGGCGAGCTGCCTAGCTGCTGCTGGAAACTCCAATCCGTCGTTTCTGTCTTTAGCCACTAGCCTTCGTTCCTCGGCCATCGCCGCTAGCCACCGCCGTTTCTCCTCCGCTGTGCGGCAACAGAAAAGCAACCATTTGTCCCGGACGCAGCTGTATACCTTTAGGCAATGCCTCACTGTCACCCCTGATTGAAGGTCTACGGGTAAAATTGATCATTAGCTTGATATATCTTTATTATAAGGCGTGGTCGATATTTTATATCGTACCCTACCGTTTCTATCTTAATTATTTAATAACGTCTCTTACTGTAATAACGCAGTAATACGCAAAATGGAATTTTATAAAATAAAAAAATTATATAAAATAATAAAATTAACCAATTACAGAGTTATTACACTGTTGTCATAAGAGATGTAAAAGATATCCTAACAATTTAAATTTATCGAGAAATCCTATTAACAACATTCGTTACCTTTTCCGTCAGGCACATCAATGACCTCGCTGGTGTCGAGATAGATGCGACCTTTGTAGACGTAGGTGTCGCGCTTGAGAATGTCCTTCTTGCAGTAGACCAGTTGATGATCGAAGAGGAATAATGTGATGTTATTCGTCCACATGCCAGTCTTCACTCTCATCGCATCACCTTGATAAATAAGTTGCGACGAAACTTCTATGAGATCCTCACCCTGCGACCGATTGCCGTCGATATTAAACGTATTTCGAGACAATTATTTTAGATAAAGCTCGCACTATGAAGGTAATCAGTATTATCAAGAGGATTCAAAATGCAAATTTTAAAAACAGTTTTTATCACAACTACAAAAAGCTCGTACCTCCCAACCTTCTACGCGCATTTGCCATGCGGCCAATTTCTCCAAACTTTCCATCCGCCTTTTTCTCTCATTGATCAATACCGCGACGTCTCTCATCGCTTCCAAGGCCTCTTGGATCTTGTGATAATCCGGATGATCGGTCTTCGTATATTTCAGTAACTCTGCCAATTGAAGGGGATATTTGCATATTCGTTGGATGGGCGTCAATAAATAGCCGTCCAAGGGGATCTCGATGAGACCCCTCATCAGTCGACAAGCCTCGAAAAATTTGCTATAACGATTGTGATGGTAGAGCTCCTGCAGCGTCGCCGTGGCCATTGGGTGACTGTTACAGTACTCGGAATACATTCGAAAACCCGCCCTCTGAAAGAATCAATAATACGTCTTTCGTCTTCTTTTTCTTTAACTTTATCCAAAGGTACATAGACATAGACAGAGTTCTTTCTCTCTAACTTCTTTCCAACTTTTAATATAGTCCAAGAAAGTTAAGATAATGAAGAAATATAGAGACAAATCGATCAATTTATCACTCGGATGCATGGAATTTTCAACGAAGAAGAAAGCGCGATATTTTGATAATGCCACTAACATGATTGAGGAAGCATTCGCCGATGCAGCTTTTGTATGGCGCGTTCCAGTCGATGCGGTCCTCGAGATCCTTCAGAAACTCAGACTGAAAGTCTAGAAGTTCCTCGAGGTTGATGAAGATCGTCTCGATCTGCTCCTCGGTAAACATGTCCGTGCGCCTGCGGCATTCCGCGATGTAACCCTCGGCCACGTCGCGTAGGACCTTGACGAAGTCGCGCTCGGTCTGGACGAGCTCGCGGACCACGCTGGTCCTCACTTGCTCGTTCGAGAGCAGGGAGACGCTCGTCCGCCTTCTAAGTTGAGTACCCGAGGATCCTCCCGAGGCCATCGCGGCCAGACAATCCTCCACCGTATCTTCTTGGCTCACGCGCAACTATAAACAAATTTATTTTAACCGAGTTTATTTATTATATCTAAGTTTAACTTAATTTAACCATATAACTAAATTACAAATCAACTTTGTTTTCTATTGTTATAATTATTGTTTTATATTAATATTGTGTTGTGCTTAAATAAATAATTATGATGTTATTACTTAAGGTCATTCTAAGGCTAAAAGTGTAATTTATTTTAATATGTATGGACCCATTCAAGGACATTTACCCTGACAAAAGCGGCCGGAAACCATCCGTGCTCTCCTCTGCAGCTGCCCCACCACCAATCCCTGTCCAGTGTATCGAGGACGTCGATGACATCCCCGGCGCGAAAAGCCAGTTCCTCCGGCTCCATCGCCACATGATCCCAAACAGCCTCGGCCAACATGACGATTTCTTCATCCATCGTCTGCTCAAACGATTTCTTCTTATCCGTCAAAGAAGTGATCGAAGATTCGGAATCGGACATCATCTCGTCGTCTTCCGATGTTCCGGCTCTTCCATCCTGCTCGTCCTCTGATAGCACGTTGCCACCGGGTAATCTTGCGCCTACTTTTTTCGGGAATAGAATTTTATTGTAATAAAAATAAAAAAAAGGGATATGAAGAACACATACCCTTACACAGATCGCCCATTGATTTAAATTTTAAACAAAAAACGCAAGTGAAAAGATAAATAGAAATTAATCAGCATGTATAATACTGTTATCTTTTCGATAGAGGTACATTTCAAATTCCATTCTCTGCAAAATTACAGAGTGGATATTAAAAATATAAGAAAAGAATACATATAAAATCGCCTTTCTTAAAGAAATGTCTTCATTTAATTCTTTAATTTTTAATACAAATGTTTCGTCTGGGCAAAACAATCGACAAACACTCGATTCCCACAAAGCGTCCCACAACGTAAACGACATTTCGCTCCGTTTACGCTCGTCGGAGGAATCCCTCTGGAAGTTATTGGGACAACAAGTACGTCTCAGCCCCCGGGCCAAAAACTGTCCACCGTGCAGCTCTCGGCGTGAGCGGAAAAAGAATGAAACAGTAATTTTCATGAGATTCCTCGAGAGAAGGTAACCAAGCCCGCCGGAGTATCTCTCCCTCTCGGTATTCAGTTAACCCGCATACGTGCGAATTGATCGCACCCTCGGGAAGTCGCGTCTCTTTCTCTCGCGCGGGAAGGAGAGACGAGAAGTGCGAGAGAGAGCGCTTTTACGAGAGCTTCTCCGGCAAGCCAGGGTCCTTACTATCATCGCAAAACAGAAGCGTTTCCACACGAAGCAACGTTTTTACAGGGATAAGAGACGGAGCATGACGATTATTACACAGGGATGTCCCATTCCTTACTCTCGCGCAATTATCCTCCCTCGTTTTTTCTTTCTCTTTCTTAAGAGGGTGCATTCGATGGCAACACGATGTGGGTGAATGTCTCAACAATGTCTTTACGAGGAATGCATGCTGAATACTCTTCGTGGTGATGTCTAGAGAGAAACTGGCGGTCTCTGTGATATACGGTGCACTAGATATCATCGAGGGTTTTTCTACTGGCGTGTAAACTCTATCTACCCAGCAAACGCGTTCTGACATGAATCCATGTCTCTCCAACGATTCCAGTTACCGCACGAAAACATCTATCTCGAGTATATACTTGAAAAAAAATGATGTAAAAAGAATTTTGTTTTCTGTATCGTTCTTTCGCGTTTCTCTTTTCATCTCAATTTTTTAAATATTATTTATAAATATTACGTTAATTAAATTGTATAACGTATCTTTTAATAATTCAGAATAATCTATTGTAAGATTAACTGGAGTGATATGATAACTCTTCTCAATCAGTAATGATTCGAGAAGAGACGTGCGGCCTCGCGTTTCACAGGCGCGATAAGAGAATGGTCCACGCGCGTGCTTGATAGACAAGACGAGAGGAACGTGATCTACGTCAGAGAGCTCGAAGTCTATCTTAAATTAAGAGGCATCAGAGCAAATACCGATGACGGTGCTTACCTGCGGTTTTGGCGCGCATCAGCGGCGAGAGCTGATTGATTCCCAGTGGCTGGCTAAGCGACCGCCTCAAATTTGTCCGAGAACTCCTCCCTTTCGCGTTACTAAAGAGAGCGCGAGAAAAAAAAGAGAGAAATCGTTAATTCGACATTAATTCGTATCTGTTACCGCGTTAACGTGCGGCGTATCGAGCGAAGGGTTCGACAAAAGCGTGTACTCAGGTATTAAGCATATCGGTACAACATTCAGCAACAGATTACAGTATAGGTAGGTATAATATGTATATAGATATATGTATATAGAGTACAACACACGACAAGAGGTATGTATATATACATATGTATATATACGTATGTTACGCGTGGCACAGATCAACTTTTTACTGGAGGAAAGATTAAAAGAAGGTGGTTTGTTATAATACCCGTCTACCTACCACTGGTCTCCCTCGATTTACTGGAAAGGTTCGAGAACAAAGAATTTTAAGTTTTCCCAAGTTGTCACTTAGTTTTTCGGGGGTTTTGTTGATTCGAGATGTGGGATACGCGATATTAGTGTTACGTTTTGTGAGAGGAAGTCAGAATTGTTATATTGATTCGAAAATAAAGAAGCAGCGAGCGAGCGAGCGCGTCAGGCTACAGTAGGTACGGCCGTGCGGCTAAGAAGAGCGGAATTAACAAGCGTTCGATATGTCTTTTTGTTTCGCATGTTTCTCTTTTCTTTTAACGCCTCCTCGACACTGCTAGCTTTTCACACTCGCAGAGTGTGAAAGATTAAGTATGCTCGCCTCGATTCCGGAAACCCAAGGAAACGTTGCTTGGACCTTTAACGTACAACTCTCACGATTAAGCCGTACGCATCTGTCGGACGTGACAACTTTACGCGCAAAACAAAACATTTATCAATAAAGTCTTCGGTTTGAGGTATTTAAAGAAATTATAATAAAAGAATGATAAAGTTAAGATAATATTACAAAGAAAGAATATTATAAAAGTATTATTACAAAGAAGAAAAACCTCTCTCAATTATAATTCCATTCAGAAAATTTTGTAATTTTTTAGATAGAATAGCATCTCAATCTTTGTTACTGTAAAATCGCGTATTTATCAAATAGGGCAATTTTATACGTAAGATATTCGTAAATAATTTAAAAAGCTTCAATAAATATTTGAAGGAATTATAATGAAAATTCTACGATAATAACATTACAAGATAATATTACGGAAAAGAAAACCTTTTTCAATTATAGTCCCGTTCAGAAAATCTTTTAGATAGGAATACATTAAGAAAAGTCGCTTCGAGAATAATAAGGAAGATCGTTAAAGCTTTTTTAATGGGGTTTACTCTTACTCAAACTACGTTTTCATTACTGAACATTATTTGAATATTCGATGGTTTTATAACTTTCTAAGTCTTTTGTATTTATACATATTTTCCTCTCGTTAAAGATTTTCAAGCAAGGCTCCTCTAACACAATTGTATCCCTATCAATTCAAGGATCCAAACGCAACGGTTGCCTGGGTTTCTCCAGCCTTCGCGAAGAGCCGACGTGATTCGCAAATGGCGATGATTTAATGAGGCGTACGCGATAAGGGTTGCTTGAACACGAGGCGCGATTGTGATGATTAAACGCACCTTCTGAGCGTAACGATATCATGGGAGGAGTGCCTCGGGCTGAGCCTGGGCGGTCTCGTCTTGATCGGCGATGGAGTTGACAGCATCCTACGATAATTGTGAACGTATCCTGACCTCGTGTCCCATTGGAGCAACCTCTGCCCCCCTAGGTCGCTGTTCGTGCGACGCACGTGATTATGTCGCGACGAACGATTCTGTAAATCCGCCTGGAACAATCATGCGGATTTCGGATGAAAAACTTCCCTGCGATTCGCGGCGAATTAATATCGCAGCTCTGCGTATC